TGCTGTCCTTCCTGTCTCATATAGAAAATCTGATGAAGCTATCACTTGCATTGGAAGGGTATATCTGGATGCAGAAAAATATTAATACTTTTCTGAAAATATTTCTCTTTCAGACCTTTATTTTCTTTAAAATGTGCTTTAGATCACGATGGGTGTGAACAAATTCCTGCAGAGAAGTTAAACAGTAACGTCTATTTATATCTAAAATTTTTCTTTTTTGTGAAAACAAGGTCTTATACTACATACTGTCAAAGTCATTAGTGTCTTGACCTGTTACTTGTGGTTTTAATATTTAAGAAATACCTAACAAAACACAATTTTATTTTTTCTATCTTCTTCTTGTAACTTACTCCCGACAGCTAGTGGTGTCAAAGGCTGTTGTACTGACATAAGCCATATTATCTTCAAGATTTTTCTTTTCTTTGTTCTTCAGGAAAAGGAAGTCACTCAGTAAAACTATTAAGAAATGAAATGCGCAATATCTCACTTGGTGGTGTTAACATAAGCCCTCAGTTTAACAAGTCTGAAGAAGTTATGCACAGTGTGAATAATAGTATCTACATCTATGCTTGATAGGGTGAAATGATCTGAGCATTGTTAGTCCTTGGAGTTCAAGGCCAAAACTGATACCTAGTGCGTTCTGGAAGAAATTCTCTCTTTCAGTCTGAATTTCATGCATTTCTTTTAAAATGGTGAGGGAAAACAAGTTTCTTCTGAAGCTGTAAATCATTCAGTGGGAGAGCTTATGGTGAGGGGATAAAGTAGTGACCCAGGAACCCCGTCTGTGGATGTTGCAGTCTGGCTTTTTCCTGGATCCCTGGGCTCTTACAGTGATTACTTCGAGGCTTCAGTAAAAAGGGCCTCTCCCACCGTCCTGGAAAGTGGCCTGACAGTTCAAGCCCTAGCAAGTTTTGCTAGGCCTAAGCTCTGGATCTCCCATTTCTAGACAAGTGTGCTGTAAGACAGTGTAAGGCTGTGGGGCAAAAGAAGGCTGCCACCTCTGATTGGTGCCTGTATCTGAATAGATAAGTCTTCCAAATCCTGGCTCAAGAAGGCACTTAGGTATACACATTAAGCTGTACTTAACTTTTTTATATTGACTAGCTCCTAGATTTTCTTTGCTCAGTACTGGATTCTTCTGCACAGGTAATACTTAATCTGCATAGTACAGGGAAAAAACCCCTTATGTAGGCTTTCATTTAGAGGCTCTAAACAGCATTTTTCAGCTTTCAAAGTGTCTAAATGTAGGTCAGAATGTGGCCGTTTTGTCTTTCACACTTTTATATCTTTACTGTATTTTGTATGTGTTTGATATTTATTTACCAAAACCACTTCCCCATGTCTTTTTCATTTCTTCCCCCTCAAGTGGCGAGTAAGAAAAGAAGCTATGATGGGTCTTGCCCAGCTGTACAAGAAGTATTGCCTTCATGCCGAGGCTGGAAAAGATGCTGCAGAGAAAGTGAGCTGGATAAAGGATAAACTTTTGCACATATATTATCAAAATAGCATTGATGACAAGTGAGTCAACCTAAGTCTTCCTAATTTTAATTGTACGGTGATAAGAGATACACTGAAAATATGTGCTTATCCTGAGAAAGCTGTTATATCACATTCTGTATTTGTGGTTTTAAGTATGATATATTTAATTAATAAGCATTAAGACATGTACTAAGATATTCAGGATGGTTGCATTATCTGTTCATGTATTCATTCTGTTTACTGATGGAACTAGATCTGTGATGATAGTAGATTGTCATTAACTAACTACTATGTAGAAAAAAAACTTGTCAAATTTTGCATTTATTATACCCAGTTCTTGTTTGCCTTACTACTGTCTAGGGGCTAGCATGTTAAAATCCATGATCTGTGAGCATCATGCATGTATGCACCACAGTACATGCACAAACATCTCCTTTTGGTATGCTACGTAGAAGTGGACCTTTTAGGTAGAACAAAAGATGAAGAAATATCAGGGGTGCTTCCACTGTTGTCTAGTCTTCCCTGTTTTGTCACTCAGTCCCTTTAACTTTTGAAATACCATTTTGGCTTAGAGAAAAGTATTTTGGCCAAGGTTTTGGAAGATAATTTTCAACTCTCACTATTAATTCTTTGTCTTTCACAAGGAAAGCCAAACTATGAGATCACACAAAGATAGAATTCCAGCCTAGATTTTTAATACAGCAGACTCGGAAATCAGCCATTTCTTTATAGTGTTTCTTAGCATCTTGCTTATATGGCCTGCTACCTCAGTATGTTTCATGATCTTGGTGACTAGTCTGAACGGGCTAATAGCCTCCTTCAGTTGCCAGTTATGATAGTGAATTCTTACCGCTGCAGTGGTGAAGGCTCTCACTTTGTTCATCTGGCTGATCATAAGTGGGCCAGAGTTACATATTTGATTAGTTGCTGCTTGTTTTTTTTAAAAAGAAAAAAGATGGTTATGAGACTGTACATACAGAAATTACACTGTAAGTCTGCTGAAGTAGAAGTATCAAATAGTGAAAAATCAGGAAATCTCCACATAGCTTATACAAAGCTAATGCTGCGTATGTATATGCTTTAAATACGCTTTAATTTGCATTGAGAGGTTCATTCGTGTTTTTTTCTAGCATGTTCATGTCTCACTGTGAATACACAGGTTTGATAGTGAGCAGGGAATGAATCAAAGTTCCACAGTGAATGGGGCAGACATTTTCAACATTCCTGCTCAGGGGAAATGCAGAACACTCTCAAGGGAAACAAGACAAGGAATTTTAAGGAAAGCCTGTGTCATCAAAGCTGTGTTTCTTTCTCTGACATGATTTCTTCTGAAAGTCTGATTAAGCCGTTGAAACTGATTTTTGCATGAATAGGTATGGCTTGTATGCTGTTTGTTTTCTGGGTATCCACACTGAAAGATTGGTGGTTTGATTTTTATTGTTCCTCTAGTTCAGTTTGGTACCCTGAATTTTAATGCAAATTCTACTAGTTTTTAAGGCTGACAATTAAGTTCTTGCTCAGTCACATCATTGTGTTGGTTTTCCCATCTCAGAGTGGAGGAATAAATGCATTTCAATGTTATCAGTGTCAGAATTAGAAAGTTAGGACTTCTAGCACCTGAAGACCCGTAGAAATGCTGTGATCGTTAAGACAGAGTCCCATCCAATCCTTTAAACACACAAGCATAGGTCATAATTAGCCAACTCTGTCCTGTTTTCCTTCCATAATGAGGGAGGAGGATGTAAAGTAACAGTGAACAGCTGTCTGAGCCTTGGAGTGTCTTCCATTGTGTGCATGGGATGACACTAGTTCTTTCAAAAGATAATAAATAGCACAGTGTCGCACAGTATTCAGGCATGAAGTGGACTAGAAGAAATTTTCTCCACACATCCTCAAATGAGTGACTTGATAATGGTTTTGATGTTACTGGACTATTGATGTGCATGTTGACTCAAGACTGAGAACTTCCAACCGTAAGAACTGCTTACCACGTGCATGCTCTGAGCTTCTTTGGTTTACAGCAAATGCATAGGGAACGGAGTAAAATAACCACATCTTAAACACTGCCCTGTTACCCACTCTTGGTATGCTAGCCAATGACTTTCTTCACAGGAGAAAAGTGTGTCCCAGAGGAATTTCCTTTTTTGTAAATCTTTACCCTAACAGACATGGACCAGGGAAGGCATGATACAGTCTCCCCATTTATATTGGCAGCTTTTCTGGAACGTGTATCTGTAGAGAAGTGAGCTAGAGCAATGTTCAAAAATTAGTAAGATAACTCTAATGCCTCCAATCTCCTACTACATTAAACAGAGATGAGTCTCCTGAGATCTGAAGATCCTGTTCTCCAGGTAATTCAGTTCTTGGAGTCGTTGGTAGCAAAATGTACGTTTAAAGGGAGAAAGCCAAGTTTTCTTTAATATTAATGGGATGCCTTGAGATAGTTGTATCCATATTCATGATCACACTTCTATTCTTCTGTCTTGCCATCGTGTCTCTCGGAATTTTCTTTGAGCAGAAATAAGGTGTGTTTGACCTGCGCGGCCTCCTATGCTCTTTGTACAAGGCACTCCCAGAGTACTTTACTAGGAATCATAGTGAAAAAGTTTGTAAATTCAAATACACAAAATATTTGTCCATATGATGAACGATGTGCACAGCTCTCATTGCTATGGATTAAATTAATGTCTGAATGTTCTTTCCGTTGGGGGGCTATAATTAGGTGAACTGTATGGTCATATTTTACAGTTCAAGTTTTGTATTTTATGTAAAACCTTAAATACGTATTACTGTTTTTGAAAAAGAGATAATTGGAGAATGTTTTTGCTGGTTTGGTTTGCTCTCATTTAGTTTCCCTTTTGCTCATTTTGTTTTACATGTTTTGGTGTTCCTTTGTTGCCACCTTTTTAATGCTGATTTTTAGCTTCTATGTTAGAATAATGAATAGTTTCAAATGTTTTCCTTTTCTTCAAATACTACAGTTTTATCTTAACCTTTCCCTTGAGGATACTTCAGATTTTTACTTTTCCTCCCCCTCGAGTTACATTCTTTATTCTTTCTCCTTTATTTTGTCTTTTTGCTGTCTGTATCCTTTTCTCTTATGTATGAGAGTGAACAAAGGGAGGTTCTCGGAGCCTAAAGAAAAAGGAGAATTTGGATGGTGACAAATAAGGCAATTACTCCCTCTTAGAGGTGAAAATGAAAGAACATGGAAAAGCTATCAAGAAGCAGGTCTTGCTAATCTTTCTATCAACAGTGGAAAGGATCTTTACAGATGAGAAAAAGACCATTACTTTTTTTTTTTTTTCTTCTCTGTTGAAAAATCTAGTTTCAGTGACTTCTGATATTTCTTGTTCTTTCAGCTTGTCTGAAAGGTGTCACCGCTTTTGGAAATGTACAGTTTTAATCTCTCCTTTTCCTGCAGATTACTAGTAGAGAAAATCTTTGCTCAGTATCTCGTTCCACACAATTTGGAAACGGAAGCGCG